ATCGACTTGACACATACAAGGGTTTAACATGCAATCCACCCAAAGCCCTAATTTAAAACATGACATATACAACGATAGCATATAAACTTGCCTTGTTATTTCCATAAGCCAAGCCAAACTAACACACTGGAATAAACTGACTAAACACACATCAACTGACTAAAAGAAACCATATCTTAGAATCCTCCCTTTTTTTTTCTTCACAGTCCTCTCCTTCTTCGTCTCCTCTCCATCCTGACTTCATGTCTCAATGTCAGTGTCCTACATGCGTTATTTAACATCAATTAGCCCACATCACAATATAAACAAAGAAAACATTAACAAATTCTGTATTAAAAGAAACATGTCACATAATTGGATAACTACCAGTTATATTTCATCAACCAGCATTGTAACGAGGGGAAGAACCCATTTTTGTACTCTCTTTGAAATCCTATGTACAGATAGTTAGATATCGTAGTTGTTATCAATCAACAAGTAAGCTATAATGGTAATAGCCTGAGGCAATTAGCTCTGGGGCTGCATATTAGCTCAAGTCAAGGATCAAACCCACCTCAATATCAGCAATGGTCAAATTAGTCAAATTAGTTGTTAATTAAGTAACATCAAATTATAGAAGTTCAAAAGTATCTCATTAGCTTGTCCAGGGGCTCTATGCCAGAAAGCCACTCATCACCCACCTAGCAAAAATTTTATTGTTCTGCGCATTAAAGAGAACAAATGAGCTTGCCTTCTCATTTTCTTACAGCCATCAGTGGTCAATCACTCTTTTCTTGATTTCTTAACGGCTAAACTACCAAATTGGTATTTTTATTCGACCTTGTTTGCTAGTTTGGTATACTTATAAACTCCGGCGACAACAATGTATTTTTTTTCTCGGCCTTTTAGTCAATAAGACCCTTTTCCTTGAAATTGCGGCAGGAAAATTTATTCTACCTCCCTAACCTCTCAAAATATTAAATCTATGCCCAAAATTATCAAAAATATGCATTCCCTCCCTCTCCCTCTCCTCCTCCCTTCCCATTCCCCTCCCCTCCCTCTCCTCCACCTCCCCTTCCCTCTCCACCAGGATAAAATGCTCGAGCACTCATTACTCGAGAATCTTGCTTGGTTGACAAAATTTGAGTTGCAATAGCAAACAGTATAGCAAAATTTTCTATTTCAATATTTGGTTAGCAACATGATAGCCGGAAATAATAATTAGACTTCCATTTTGCAGAGAAGAAATGCATCACATGCTGCTGCAATCAATTTGGCTGCAAGAAACTGCTTTGACAACATGCAGTAAAAATAAAAAAAGTCAAAAAAATAATGGTGTGTCATTAAATATGGACTCTAATTCACTTATTGTAAACACTTTTACTTGAAGCTAAACTATTCTTGCTTGTTGGAAGTTCAATTCCTGCAATGAAAGTTGCACAAGTCCAAGTTGTGCACCTAACTAGTCAATGAATTTGTATCTGGAAGTACATTTACTACAGCAAAAGAATAGATATCCAAATGATTTAATTGGCACTAATTTTCTACAACAGAATGCTACATTCAGCATATTCTACATGCATTGCAGCATATGAAACAGCCCCTGAGATTTGTCAAAAAATCTTACTTTGTTGATCGCTCAAAATCCCTACTCAAGTATCAGTCATGGTAATGCAATTAATCAAAAGTATCAAGTATTCAGCTTCAAGAAGGGGAGGTTCCTGACTTTTTGAAAGGAAATAAAGAAACATAAACTTATATTCAATGAGCCAGTAACTTAAATCATGCACTAATGCAACTGGTTTTATTCTAAATAATATCCAACTGCTTGCAGCTGCCAAAGGACCAACATTGCTTCATAATAGAAGAAACTTTACGAGGTTGAACAACAAAGCACTATATATAATTGAATTCTTTGCTTTTGGTTTTTATGTGACTGCAGAACCAACATAGTTTGTTCTCATCCTTCCTATATATGCATTAATTAGGAGGTTATGACAGATTGTTTGGGGAAGGCGGGGATCGTGGTGGGGATGGGAGTGGCAGAGGGGAGGGTGGGGAGAGGGATGGAGTTGGAGGGGGAAGGGGAAGCGGAAGAGGGGAGGGGAGGGGAATGGGAGGGGAGGAGGACGACGACGGCGACAAGTAGGAGGAGGACGACGAGGACAAGGAGGAGGAAGAGAGGGAGAGGGAAGGGATGCATTTTTTTGATAATTTTGGGCATAGATTTAATATTTTGAGAGGTTAAGAAGGTAGAATAAATTTCCATGCCGGAATTTCAACGAAAAGTGTCTTATTGACTAAAAGGCTGAGAAAAAATATATTGTTGTCGCCGGAGTTTTTAAATATACCAAACTGGCAAACAGGGTTGAATAAAAATACCAATTTGGTAGTTTAGCCATTTCTTAACTACCAAAAATTTTATCATTATAGTGTTTTTGTTAAAGAGAGGCCATTTGGTTCTCCTCTCAAAACTAAAAAATGGTAAGCAATTCATGAGAAACTAAAATGAGAAAAACAAAAACTTAAAAGAGCAGAATTTGAAACTATTCCAAATATATTCTTGATGAATTGATGCAATCTCATATACCATCTTCGGAAGAATAAAAAAATCCCTAATTTGAAAAAATATAGAATTTATCTCAGACTATAGAATGAGGCTGGAAAAGACTGAGATATGTGTGAATGTATTCTCAGATTATCAACACCAGAAGTCAAATATGAGGAACTTTCTCCTAGAATCTTTATAATATGTTTCATCTACTTAACAACTTAAGTATATCAAAAATTGTCCAAAAGTCTATCTTGTCCTCTTGAGATTAAAGAAATAGTCATCCTTGCAAGTGTGATACTATTCACTTAGGATTTAGCAAGGTTTAATTGTATACCCAACTATGATAGCATTAATCATCACAAATAGAAGATAGGATTATAATTGACAGTGTTCTAGGCTTTACTTTTTAAACTTCCAAGGCTCAAACTTGTAGAGTTGTTATATATGTCTGGGATGCTTTTTCTACTAGTCTGAGAGAAGAAAATTCTAACAAAGATACAGATAATTATCACATCTTGAAATATAAGAAGCCTTGTGTCATCCACAAGCATGAACAACTGTAACATACACATGAAATATCTTTATACTTATCTTTATACTAGATATGTAACATGCACTAGTCTGATACTACATTATATTTATCAGCCCAATATGCAACGACAGAACTAGGGGGAGGAGAGCCTGGAGAGGTCCATCCGCAATTGAGCGATAGTACGTGAGGTCAACTTGCAACTAAACCTATTAAAACATTGACACTCCAACAGCATCAAATGAAATTGGTATATACATGAACTAGACCACCAAAGATATACACATGATATATGTTCTTTCTGCATCATGTCTGGAATTGTAAAACTTTCATTACATTCTCTTAACATTTTGTATAGGCTAATTCAAACATTTATGCCGTCTAAAGTCAATCAAAACATGCATGCATTCTGCTAACAAAAACCATAATAAGATTTTATACATTTGGAGATATGTATTTTATTGTGATGCATTGGATCTCAAGGATGAACATCAAATTTGCTACTTATTGATTCCTGGGTATATAAAATGTTAGAGAATAAATTCTGATTACTGGCTCTCACATATGAGAATGAATTCTGATACTCAAGGGGCATTGTCTTAAAATATCATTCTATTATGGCCACATTTATTGCACAGAAAATATTGAGCATGGAGCAATTTTAAGAATAAACTTTTTTGGGCTCTTTAGATATTAGTCCCTTAAACTATCAGTATTTTGATATTAGTCCCACAAATCGTCATATTTTTATATTAGTCCCCCAAAATGCATTAATATGATGATATTTGTCCCTCTAGTTAGTTTGGGTTTATAATGGTTGGGAAACATTCCATTATGTTTAAATTTTTTTCTTGAATGAACCATTATACCCTCGTCCTGAAACCAAAACCGATAAATCCTTAAACTTAAACTTGATAAGAGCTCCAAACCCAAAACCATTCACCTCACTTTTTTGTCAAACGGCATCCATCACATCCGTTGCCTAACTTCTCTGTTTGCCGAAATCTTCATTAATGAAAATGGAAAATCCTACTTCCTCAACTACAGATAACAATCCAACATTCTAAACTCTAGTGCACAACAAACCCGCATTATTCATGCATAGTCATCCACAAGGAAGAACTAAGGAATTTGCAATATCTTTCTTCTTTTAGCACTGCTTATTTTTACCAATCCTTTCAAAAGTTCATGCTTTGCCTCGACAAGTGGGACCCTTATGATAAATAGGCGCCCTTTCTACACTAATGGTTTCAATGCTTATCGGCTGATATGTACATGGCGGGTGATCTGTTAAAAAAATGTTAGGTCTCCAATGCGTTTCAACAAGGAAATAAAAAAAAGAATATGGTTAATGTTGTGAGGACTTGACTTAATGATGGTGGCTATAAAGCCCTTTAGATTTTTAATGTATTTCAGTGAGGATATGTTCAAGGTGTATAGCATGACATACAGAAAAATGAAATGTGAGTAATAATTTTTTGGTTTGCATTTTGGTGACTGGCACTGGGTTTGTGATTTCTGATGCTAGGAAGAAGGGGAGGGGGAAGGACGGAAAGAGAGATAAAGGGATGGATTTGTGGTTTCTGATGCTAGGAGTAAGAGATAAATGGGTGGGACTATTATGGTAATCAACCACCTATAGTTAGTCTTAACCTAACCAGGATTGAGGGTTTTAAATGGTAAAACTAACAAAGAGATTTACATATATACCAATATACTAATGCAATTTGAGGGATTAACATCAAAATATGAACATTTGAGGGACTAATAACATAATACCTATGATTTAAGGGATTAATATCTAAAAACCCTTAATTAATGACACAGGGATCTCCAAACGTAAAACATCACCAACATCGTGAAGCAAGTGAGATCATTATTCATATTCAAAACAGTCACCTCGTCGAAGTGGTGAGGGCTTCTCTGGGGCAATTCGCAGCCACTAAGCTCTTGATCGCCGTGGGTTGCAGCAAACGAGAAAAGGCTTGAATTGAGTAACGTCATTGTTGGGACTCCCATGAAATTTCTGGTGCTAGTGAAGTTCTTCAATAGAAGTGTTGGATTCCAATGGGTTGAGGTGTTCTGTTTAGAGCCCTTCTTCTTTTTTTTGGCGGCAGTGTGTTGTGGGGAATGGGAGGAATTTTGGGATAATTTCTTCATGGCCTTGGATAATTTATCGACTAGGTTCTCATTGGAGAAGTAGGATCTATGATTTGGGGAGGATGGTGACGAAGAAAGATTGGGGTTTTTTTTCCCTTTTTTTGAGGGGACGTAGGACTATAAGGATAGCATGTTGTTTAGCTATTCAATGAAATGTGCCAACAAGAATGTGCAGTTGACGGCAGCTTTTGATGATTTGCTGGCTAATTTATGCAAAGAAGGGGATACAAACGGTTTACAGACTTGCCCCAGATGCTGAAAGCTTATGCAATTTTTATACATGCATAACTTGAGGATTGACCCTAAATGTGTTTGCAAATAATTGTGTCATCATCATACTGTTATGTGAGAAAGAAAAGAAAGCAAATGATGCATATGAGTTGCACGACGAACTAGTTGAGTGAGGCTTAGAAGCAGATGTGTAGAGTTACGATAGGATGGATCCTTGCTCTACATTGTAAACTCCATGGGACAAATAAAGCGCTTAACCTACTAGTGAGGTTTAGAAGCAGATGTGTAGAGTTACGATAGGATGGATCCTCGCTCTACATTGTAAACTCCATGGGACAAATAAAGCGCTTAACCTACTATGAAGTCTTCCTGATAAACATATGTATAATATGTTGATCAAGATGCTAGCGGGGTTGGGAGGATTGATCGTGCAGTGGAGTTATGTTGTGATAGTAAGTAGGCATTCTTTGTAAATTCATTTCTTTTCTCAGATCAGCTCAGGCTGTGATTTGATAATAACTCCTCTTGTTTGGTGCCACAATTACACAGAGCAGGCACATGCATGCTTACTCTCCTGACTAGGATACAAATAGGGATACAAAACCAATTTCATGAGGATACTTTTCACCTCATAAATCGATGAAAACTTCTCTTATTTGAGAATTACGATTCCATGATCAAAACAGTAAAAATACTTAGTAGAATACTATAATAATTTCTTGTAGATACATTTCACCTGATTTCCTATAGGTAGCGTCTGATACCTTGAAGTATATTAGCATAATATTGTTTTCATACTGACCCCTCCTACTCAACAATTTGCAAAAGAAAAAGATTATACATCAGGTTTTAGTTTAAGTATAGTCAAGACAAAACAAAAACATATAACAAAAATTAGTTTATACTACCGTGAGATTCGATGTCTGAGAACAAACATGAAAAAAATGAATGCGCAGAATCATGCAGCCATATCTACTCCAATTGCTAGAAAAAAACTTGCACACCTTAGGGTATATAACGGAGCACCGTTTGTTGTCTATAACGAAATGGATTGCCAGTCCAAGTGATTGCATTGCTGATGATGAAGGTACAAACGCAACAATCTGTCATTCCATTATGACAAGTAGTTAGCAATAATAGAGCAAAAAGAGTAACAATTTCTTGTAGATACATTTCACTTAGATTTCCTACAAGTAGCGTCTGATACCTTGAAGTTTATTAGCATAATATCGTTTTCATACTGACCCCTCCTGCTCAACAATTTGCCAAAGAAAAAGACTCTACACCAGGTTTTAGTTTAAGTAGAGCCAAGACAAATACAAATACATATAAAAAAAATTAGTTTATACTACCGTGAGATTCGGTGCCTGGAAACAAATATGAAGAAAATAAATGCGCAGAACCATACAGCCACATCTACTCCAATTGCTAGAAAATACATAATGGAGCACCGTTTGGTGTCTATAATGAAATGAATTACCGGTCCAAGCGATTACATTGCTGATGATGAATGTACAAACACAACAATCTGTCGTTCCATTACGACAAGTAGTTAGCAATAATAATAAACTCCTTTTGCTCTATTATTGCTAACTACTTGTTGTAATGAGACAGATTGCTGTGTTTGTACATTTATCATCAGTAATGCAATCACTTGGACCGATAATCCATTTCGTTATAGACACCAAACGGTGCTCCGTTATGTACCCTAAGGAGTGTAAGTTTTTTTTCTAGCAATTGGAGTAGATATGGTTGCATGGTTCTGCGCATTCATTTCCTTCATATTTGTTCTCAGGCACCGAATCTCACGGTAGTATAAACTAATTTTTCTGTTATATGTCTTTGTATTGTCTTGACTCTACTTAAACTAAAACCTGATGTAGTCTTTTTTGCATGAACCATAACAAGAGAGACCAGGTAGACACGATGTAATTATGCGTTTTTTATCATCAGAACCACGTAAAAGCAGAACATGGCTAAGCTCCAAATAGCTCCAATAAGCGTTCCCAAAATCATAAACCTTTATAGAGAAAACAAATCAGTCAACTTAGTTACATATTCATAAGCCCTTTATCATTCAATTGATACAAAATAATTGCAAAGAAGTGTCTACATAAGCCAACAAAACTTTAGTGGAAATTATATCTAAATTTATATTCTAGACTATACATGATTATCTATTAGCTTAGAGTTTGATAATGATTAATAGTGAGAACTACATTTGCATACAAATTCTGATTCACATAGAATGCATTCTTTTATTGACTGGGCTTAAATGCACAGGCTGACCGATTGTGACTCTCTTTACTTTATTTGCTACAAGCCAATTTGTAATGTTAGCATTTTTATCCTCTATCATTAAAGGGGATATAGCCAAAGAACTCCATTTGGAGTTTTCTACCTTTTTTGTTTTTTCCCTGTCAGAGAATTGCATATTGTTCTTTGCCTGACATCTTCCAAGACTTAGTAGAATCAAAAAGGATATCAATGTCTAATGATCATTATTAAAGAATAGGAGAAATCATTTTTCCTACTGCATGTTGGAGTTTGCTAATACTCTCTTCTATAATCACTTACGAACATGATGCTCCTCAAACAAGCATATGGTCCTCTCCATGTTCACATTCTCGTATATTATCTGTCCAAGTTTAGACCTCTCTTCTAGTTGTTAGAACTCATAGAACAAAGTAGTATCTTTGTGTTTAATGTCAACATTCTAATATACTTATCTATTCTAAATAGGACTTCTTGCCCTATTTCTACTTAAAAAAAACATTTTTATCTTCTAAAACCAAAAAGTAACTATCATATTATTATTTTTATGTCAAAAACACGCTAAATAAAA